AGAGTTGAGGATGGGCTGGGGTTGTGGCTCAGAGGTAGAGCACTCGCCTAGCATGTGTGAGGCACTGGGTTCGATCCTCAGCACCACATAAAGTAAAATAAAGACACTGTGTCCACCTATAAGTAAAAAATAAGTATTTTTAAAAAAAGAGTTGGGGAATATAACTCCAGTGTAACGTAACCTTGATTTCACTCCCCAGTACCCTAAATACATAAGCAAATAAATAAATAATTTAAAAATAAAGACTGAACTGGCAAAGGACGAGGATGTTCTGGAAATGAGAACATTTCTAAGCATAAGACTCCAGAAGAAGAGAAAGCCTAGAACATGCTTGGAATGCCAACGTGGCAGATGGAGGAGAAAGCCCACAATCCACTATGGAACAAGTTCTACCCTAAGGCCACACTAGGGGAAAAGACACAGAAAGTTGAAATGAATGGGCCTAGAAACTAGAACCTGAGGAAAGAAAATGTAATATAGAACACTTCATTGGGAATATTTTTTTTTGCAGGGGGGTGGTGAGGAGGGGTGCGAGGAGGTACCGGGTATTGAGCTCTGGGGCACTCAACCACTGAGCCGCATGCCCAGCCCATTTTTGTATTTTGTTTGGAGATAAGGTCTCACTGAGTTGCTTAGCACCTCTCTTTTGCTGAGTCTGGCTTTGAACTCGTGATCTTCCTGCCTCAGCCTCCTGAGTAGCTAAGATTACAGGTGTGCACCACCATGACCAGCTCATTGGGAATCTTCTAGATTTAAGATTGTGAAATTAGATGGAACCTAAAACAGAAAAATGCATTCTAGAATTGAGAACACAAATTGGAGGAAGGCCAGAGCAGGTAATTTAATACACACATTCTGGATCTTAGAATGTCCTTGGGAGGAGAATGGAATCTAGAACAATGCCAAGGATGTGGCTGGAACGTAGAACACACCTAAAATGAAAATTTAGCAGACACTAAGGACTGTTTGCTAGAAATGTGGAATATGTCTGAGGAGATGGTGAGATCAGAATTTAGTTTGTGGACATTATCTAGGTGTTTGAAAAGACACACACACAAAAAGGTATGCCCAGAATTTAGCATCTGGTCTAGAACTTAGATCATCCTTTGGGTGAAGATAGAACAGAGATATTAACTGGAAATGTTGTAGTACATAGAAAGAATGTAGAATATGGAACAATGCAAGGGCACATGTGCAGTTGGAAATATGAAAGATGGCAGGTTCTAGATTGCCTAATGAGCCTGGACTGCAGAACATGTCTGGGGGAAAGGGATGCATGTTTGGCTCATTGTCCTCTGAGTGTGTAAAGAATGGGACATCATGATATGGGGCTAAAGAGGCAATGTAGTGCTGGCAACGTCTCAATCCAGGATTTAGGGCACAGAAGACAGAGGAGATTCCAAAAGCCTAGCTCTGAGATGATATGGGGATGAGGCAGGGGTTTGTCAAGGCCATAGGAGATGTGAAATTGAAGGGAGTCATGAAATTATGAGCACCTACCTAGACCCCTTAAAGTGAGAACTAAGAAATTAGATACCAAGGTGGAACTGAGGTGGGGACCTGGAATCCTGAATCCATGTGGATGTTAAGGACAGGGGGTTAGAAACTTGGAAACCAAGTACCTCTTGGGCTGGGGCAAACAGGCAGTACTGAAGCTGCGGTCTAAATTCCTAGATCTTAAGGGGATGCTGGACCCAGGACAAGACACCTAGGTGTCCAAGGGGATGGTGAAAAGAAGCCAAGGAATCACATAGAGATTGCATTCCAGACCCCTGAAAGGAAGAGAGTCATGGTGCCTGAGTCCCTGAGGGTACCAGAAGTCTCAGTAATATTGTCTGAGGGGCATGGGGGCTGTTAAACTAGGTGCTAAGGGGAGGGGGTGTTGGGCAAAAGCTGGGAAACTGGATTCCTAGGTCCTGACTGGATGAGGGTTATCAGTTGGGTCCAACAGAGGAATGACAGCTTCCAGAACCAGGTGGGAGCTGGATGCCCAAGTGCTAAGGTCTCTAAGGTGAACAGAGCCCTGGTTCCTTGGAGAACAGCTGGAGTCCCAGAAATCTGGGGCGCTGAGGATGGGGCCTGAATGCCTGGCCAGCGGAATCCTGCGGCCCAGGTCCGGGAGGGCCTGGGTATCCCCGGGTCAAAGGCACAGCTGGGGGTATCCCCCGCTCCGCCTTGCGGCGCCCCCTCCCTGACAGCGCGGGCTTGAGGTGGGGGAAGCAAGGCTGCCAAGCGCGCTGACCATGGACAGCTCCAGAGCGGGCCTGTGTCCAGGGCTGCGGGCGAGCCGGCCTGGACGGAGAGACGCGGCCGGCTGTTCAAGCCAGAGGCTGGAGACCGGCAGAAGGGGGACTAAGTCGATGCTACGGGGGAGCGGCCGGCCGTAACTGGGGGAGTCTGAAACAGCCGCGGCCGGTGTCTGGAGCTCCCGGGACTGGGCCAAGGAGAGCGACCCAGGTTCAGGAGGGGTACCTGGGCTAAACTGGCAAATCCAGGCTCCTGGGCCCTGGAGGAGGCTCAAGGAGGCAGCACGCCTGGGAGTCTAGGGTTCCGTTGGGGACTCTGGGAGCCAGGAAGGGGCACGCCTGAGTCTCCTGTGTTGGGTTGTAAAATCTGGGTTCTGGGGTCCCCGGGGACCTGGAAGGAAATCCAGGATCTCGGGGAAGCAGAGGAGTCTCGCCGAAGGGTCCCCAGGGTGGGCGCTGCCAGGCGGGCTGGGCCGGGCTCTTACCTACCTGGTCCGCGGCGGCTGCGGGCGGAGCTGGGCTGCAGGAGGGACGTGGGGTGGGGTGGGGGGACCGGGCGGGGCCCCTGGCGGCGGCCGGGGCCCGGATCTGTAGCTCCGGAGCCCTGTCTCCGCGGCTCGCGCGGGCTCAGCGTCTCTTGCTTGGGCTTGGGCGCTGGGGACCCCCTCCCTCTCAGTCTCACAGCCCTCTACCCCTTAAAATAGCCCCCTGTCCCTGTCACCGTTCAGCCTCCCCCCGCGAGGCCGCAGCTGCCAGATCCAGGGGTGCCTACCAGCGCCCCCCAAATACCACCTTCCCCCCCAAAAAAATTCTCCTCCCTCCCCCTCCCCCCCACAGCTCCCAGGCGGTCTTGGCCCCTTTAACAGGAGACTGACAGACGGCACTGAGTGACCAATGAGAGGCACCGTCGCCGCCGGCCGGCGTCTAGACCCCGCCTTCGTACGGGCAGGGAGGGGTCGCGCGGGCGGAGAGCAGGAGGCGGGGCTTAAGGTGACTCGGCCAATAGGCGCTCGGCGTGCGGCGGCTGGGGCGGGAGGCGGAGCCCGGCTGGGGGATGATGTCACCTGGAGCGAGTAGCGCGCGGCGTGGAACGCGAGTCGCGACCCTGAATCCTGGCGGTGGCGCGCGCCGGCCCTAGCGCCGCACGGGACACAAGGCTGGACGGGCAGTGGGATGGGGGTAAAGGTTGTATTTTAAGGCAAGGGCGGTTTCCAGAAAGACGGGCTTTGGTTGGAAGGTGGGTTGAGTGCCCGACAGATGAGTGCACCTTATTCCGCACCCCCGCGCCCGCCTTGGGAAACTACACCAGGCCCCCCCAGCTCTCACGCAGACGATAGTGCGGCCTGCGGGGCTCCCCTGGCGGACGAGGCTAATGGTTCGCCCCGCCCCGCCCACACAGAGGCCGCCCACTGGCTCCAGCTGCGTTTCTTGACTTCTTGGTCAGACCGGTTACTGAGGAAGGCGCTTGGCTCTCGCCCTCCGACCCTCCTTGGGGTAGGACGCATTGTCTTCAGTTCGGCCCCCTCATTCAGACCCAGCCTCTGCCCTCCGATTTGACCCTCGGAAGCCGGCCTAGCTTCCGCCTTCAGACCTGGGGAGAGGTCTCTACCAGCGTCTCAGACCAGATTCTGGCTTCATCAGGGCTTAATCTCCACCTCAGCTCTTCTCTCTCCCCCACACCTCAAGATACTCTACCCCCAGGCTGCAGGACAGAAACACGGACACTCAAAGAGGGTCAAACATCTTTAAATAAGGAGCCAGTGACAATAAATACTGTACAGGGGGAGAGGGTGAGGGTGAAGATCCAGATCTCTGATTTCAGCCTCGAGATTCCAAGGACCTGCGAGGAGGGTGAAGAGAGGGGAGCCAGGCTCAGGGAAGGAACCCTGGGGAGCATAAGAAAGCTAGGACTGGGGTTTCTGAGGGGAGGGCCCAGGTAGGGGTTGAGGAATTCCAGGAGTAGGTGGGGATGAGAGGGAGCTAGAGCATCCCAGGGAATTAGTTCACAAGGGTCCCAAGTGGGAGTCTGAGCCAGGGGGTAAGGAGAGGAGCCAGGGCTGGGGGAGGCCATCAAGGTCCTAGGAATCACTGGCCTGGTTTGAGAATCTGGGGTTAAGGGGAAGCAATGGAAGCCCCAGGGGCGTGGTGACCAGGGGCTCACGAGTAGCTCTGGTGCTGCTGGCGCCTGCGTGCAGAGCGCATCTTCTCGAAGCGGGCCTCCATTTCTTCCAGCACTCGAGGTGTGTAACGCACCACCAGCTTCACCGAGCCCTGGGCCGCCTTCAGTAACTCCACGGCCTTCTCATGCTGCTCACCCTCAACACTCTGCAGGACAGGACCACACAAGACAGCTGGGCCTGGGCCTGCTACCCTTGCCCAGCCCTGGCCCAGGAAACTGGATGAATGCTGGTGAAGCCGGTGCCTGGCCTAGATGCCATGACTTCCTATCCTCCTTGTAGGAGGGTCATTGACTTTGGCTCAGCATTCTCCCTAAAACTGTCCATATTCCCCATGCCAAGGACACTCTCATGCCCCGAGGCACTGAGCCAGGCCATCTTGTCATCTCCCTCCCAGAGGCCACTATTACCCTCCTTCTCGATACTCACAGCCTTGGTCATAGCTCGGGTCTTGTCTTCTCCCCTCTGGACTCAACCCTCTCCATCCATCTCCCACAGATTCCCAGAAGGTGTGTAATGCACCTTCTCCAAGCTATACCTCTCCCTCTGGTACACTCAGCCTTCCCATGGCTCCACAGCACCCCTAGAGCTAATGCCAGCTTCGCAGGCCCCATTTACCTAGTTTACTTCTACTCTAACCACACGGTTTTAATTAACTACATGCCCCAGACCTCCATCAGACCAAGCCCTTTCTCTTCATCTCAAAGGAGTGCAAAGTCAAAGTCCCTTCCTATAATACGCTCAGGAATACTTTTCACTTTGTCTGGAGAACTCCAACTCATCTTTCAACACCCAAATCAAATTTTCCTTCTTCTGCAAAAACTTTCCTCATCTACACTGGACTGGTGCCACATCTGGGCTCTCACAATGCTTTGGATTTCCTCATGATTATGTCTGTGGATCAGGACTATTTCAGTCAGGGTCTACGCTGTCACTAGAGAGGGAGTCCTTGAGTACTGGAGGTGCTTCCCACAGGGTTTGCAGCACTGTACAGCAGAGGGCTGGCCCCAGAAGCAGTGCTAAGCTAGTGCACTGAATGAACGTCAGCCAGGGACTGCTACAGCTGGGTCCCAGACCTGCTTCAGCCCTCCACTCACCACACCATTCACCGACAGCAGTTGGTCCCCACGTTTCAGACCCCCATGGCGATCGGCCACTCCTCCAGGAATGACACGGGAAATGTAGATGGGCGAGTTCTGCTCTTTGCCACCCATGATGTTGAAGCCCAGGCCCTCATCTGTCTTGGGCAGCTCCACTACTCTGGGATGTGCATGGCCCTCACTGGCTGTGAAAGCAGCCACCGTCGCCTAGGAGAAAGTGTCCAGAAGTGAGTAACCCCTCCGTGGTGGGCAAGTGTGCTAGGGTCAGGGATCTAGGCTGGGGACAGCAATTTAAGCCAGATTGTTTTCCCTGAGCATGAGGGAACCTGCCATCACTCTACACAAAATCACTAGGTGGCAACAGGATGTTCTTTTGAGTTCGGGCATGCTTATGGCATGTCAGGGAAGTAAGTCTACAAAATACTCTGCACTGGACAATCTTGCTTTTTAACATATGAAAACTAGGCCTGAGGGGAATGGAGAGCCTCCAGGAAGCAATGAGAAGCATCATCTAATTATAGTTTAATAAGATTTCTATGTTTTATTGACATTTTACTGTAGAGATGTTTAGGGTTATCTTCTAGGCAGCCATGTGATATTGTTTCTATTTCTAGTTGCTAGGACATTTAAATTTTAAAGATGTGCGGTTATTTAAAGGAAATTATAAATAAATAGCCATAAGGATGATGTATAGATTTGGCAAAAATCATGAAAGAGGAAATAGGAAGGACTAGCCTCAAGAAGGCACAAGCTAGACGTGCGGGTCAGGGGATGCCAAGAGCAACCGGGCGGGGGCGCCTACCTTGGCTGTGGCATGAGCGCGTATCTCAGCACTGCCAGTGATGTCCAGCGTGTCGTAGAGCTGCTCATACACCTGGGCGGGGACGCAGCAGCGTCAGGGAGCCACCAGCCCCCTCCTCACTTAGAGTTGTCCAGACCCTGGATCTCCCACCCAAGGATCCGCCCTGCAACCAGAGCCTGAGGAAACTACAACTCCCAAAGAACCCCGGAACTGCAGCGCGAGCACCGCATGGCGAGTCGCCTCGGGAGCTGCCGGGAGGCGTAGTCCCTAGGCTCGCGACGGGAGGAGGACGAAGGCGGCCGCAAGCTGTGTCCTACCCTGGCGGCTCACCTCACGGATGGCGGAGCAGAAGCGGCTCTGCAGGACTCGCTGGAGGGCCTGCAGCTTCTGCGGGGGCAGCTCCCCGCTGCGCTGGAGTCGCTCGAGGAGCTCCACGGCCCGGGACACGTCTGCGGGCGGGGGCGGGGGCACAGAGACACGGAGAGTCAGACACCAAGACTCGAGCCACCGAGAGACGCAGCGAGAGGTGGAGTAAGGACGAGCTCAGACTGCGCGCAGAAGGGCACCAGAGCCCAGTCGGACATCCCGCAGAGTCAAGGGTGACGAGTGAGCGACTGCGCCAGCCAGGTGCCCGGCAGGTTCCAGGACCCTCCCCCCCAACACAAACAGAGCTGCGGGTGTACGGTGGCCACCCCTCACCAGCCGCTCGCCCACTGACCCTCCCACGCCCACGGACTGCCCAGCTCGTAGCGCCCCGCCCCGCCCACCCCGCCGGGTCCGCGCGCCCATTGAGAGGGCCTGGCCGGGGCGGGCGGGGCCAAGATCAGGGGCGCAGACGGCGGTCGGGTGGGCAGGGCCCCCTGGCGCGCTTACCCCGCTCCAGCCCCAGAGGCTCCACCAGCGCAGCCATGTCGGCGCCACAGACGCCAGCCGCCTGCCTGCCCCGTCGCCGGCGAGGAGGCGGGGCTCCGTGGGGCCACGCCCCGGGCGACGGGCGCCCCCTGCGGAGGCGCCTCCAGTGTGCGCTGGGCTCCTGGCGCTGAGACGTTGGACCGCCGCGGGGTTGGTCTGTTCTTTTTCTGATCCCTCCTATTGCAGCTTCGGTCCGCCTGCCGAATCGTCTGCATCTCCTGAGTCCTGCCCACCAAACCTTTCTATCCCCTCCTTATTCTTTTCCCATATTCTCACCCTAAACAAATGCGTGTTCAGCATCTTCTGGACCCACGGTACAGACATGATAGTGAACGGGACCGACAAGCCCATTGTTACAACTGTAGGGTGGTCGACAACTTATGTCTGTGACTAAGAGTTGAGAGTGGGAGTTGATCATCTAAGAGAGAAAAGAAATCCTCAAGGATGTACCTTGACAAGGAGTCCTAGGACTTTGTGTCAACAAGCTCAACAAGAGGTGACGCTAGGGCTCACGTGGCTGCAGAACTGGTGGTGAAAGATCTGGCAGGGTACAGTTTATGGACATTGCATATAGAGGATTTGGGACTTCATGCAAACTTCTAAGAGTAAAATGGGATACTTGATTTTGTATTTTAAGGTCTTATTTTAACACCACGGAGAATGGTCTGGATGGGAGGTCAGAGGTGTCTTGGCAAGCTGCACAGTGGTTAGCACCTGATGAAAGCATGGAAGTGGAGACCTAGAAGATGTCTACACCAATTCGGGCTGAATTCCATGTGGGGATCTGGAGGTGTAGGAAAAGGGAGTGTTAAGGTGCTTTGGTGCCATTTGCCTGGAGGAGGAACAGTACATATTTTGAATTTGCAGAACTGTGGTGTCCAAGAGAATCACAGATATCCAGAACTAGAGCTCAGAAGAAGTGTCTGGCCTGCAGGTGGTTTTGGGGATTTGGACACAGGCGGTAAATAAAACTAGAGGAATGGACAAGAATGCCAGGCGCCAAGAGAATATACAATAAAAATGACCTAGGATTATTCCTCCAGATTCTCAATATGTAAAGTCAGCACAGCAAAGGATGGTGGAGAAGGTAGGAGGAAACCCAGCTGAGAGGAACCATGAGAAGTGTTTTTTTAAAAAGAGGAGTCGTGGGGTGGGGTGTGGTGGCAAACATCTGTAATCCCAGCAGCTCAGGAAGCTGAGACAGGAGGATCAAAAGTTTGAGGTCAACCTCTGCAATTTAGTGAGTCTCTAATAAGCAATTTAACAGTATCCCATCTCAAAAAATAAAAAAGGGCTGGAGATGTGGCTCAGTGGTAAAGCACTCTGGGTTCAATCCCCAGTACCAAAAAAAAAAAAAAAAAAAAATGAGGAGTGGTCAGTTGTATTACATATTGCTCCAGAAAGGATGAGGTAGGAATGAGGAGTGGTCAGTTGTATTACATATTACATGCTCTAGAGAGGATGAGATAGGAAATGTGGACAAGACTTGTGAAAAATCTGACTGTTGTATTAGTCCCTTGGTTTATTTTTTTTAGAGAGAGGAAGAGAGAATTTTAATATTTCTTAGTTTTCAGCAGACACAACATCTTTGTTTGTATGTGGTGCTGAGGATGGAACCCAGGCCACACGCATGCCAGGCGAGCACGCTACCGCTTAAGCCACATCCCCACCCCAGTCCCCTGGTTTAGTTGCCCTAGGACATGGGGCCCAGAAAAGGGCTTTTTCATATTGGCAGGACAAGAGCAGTCTTGGCCAGCTAGCTCTCCTTTGTAGCGCCTCAAAAAATAATGTATTTATGGGGCTAAAAACCAAGTTTAAAACAGAGAAAGGATGATAATGAAAGGCACCAGCCCCTGCACACCTCATAACTCTACCCCTTTCCAAAAGCAACAACTTACAAGTGTATCCAAATACATGATACTTCTTGATTTATTGATAGATGTTGGTAACACATTTACCTAGTTTTTCTGTTCTCATTACCTTTCTCATCTCTTCCTATGAAATTTTTATGGTGACAGGTTTTTTTTTTAAATGCTGGGGACTGGGCTGGGGATGTGGCTCAAGCAGTAGCGCGCTTGCCTGGCATGCATGTGGCCCGGGTTCGATCCTCAGCAGCACGTACAGAGATGTTATGCCTGCCGGAAACTAAAAAAAAAAAATGTTGGGGACTGAACCTGGGGCACTGTGCATGTGAGGCAAGCACTCTACCAACTGAGCTATATGCCCAGCCCCTGGGATTGTGGCTCAGGGGTAGGCAGTGCTTGCCTACTATGTGCCAAATACCTTAATTGAAACCAGGGGCACTTAACCCTTTAAACTTTTCATTTTGAGATAGGGTCTTGCTAAGATGCTTAGGTGAGGTTGGTCTATCTTCCCTACGATTTCTAGTGTTTATACCAATAAGATTTCAGGTTAACTAGTCTCTAAATCAACAAAGCCCATCTATTGAATTCTGATTGTTCTATTTTAGAATTTCATCTAACTTCAAGATCCCTTATCTTTTCCTTATTTTGTGAAAATACTGTTTGTTTTGATTCAAACATTTGAATCACCCTGGGTGTTTTTTCCCCTCTTGGTTTCTTGAAACTTAAGTATGCTGGCAATTTTTGAGTGGATGCTGATCATTGTAACTACAAATAATAGTACATTAGGCACCGTCTTCCTCCAAAGAGGAAAGCAGGTCAACTCCCTAAATTCTGTCTCATTATATGCATTCTTTCAGTTGTGGTCTTCTTGATATTGTGGCACTCTGAACATCTGAAGCAGGACCACTCTCTGGGCAGGGGTGGGATGGGACACTTATTTCCCAGTCTGACTCCGCAGAAGGGCATGGCTGCTGAAGTTTCTTTAGCCTTCCAGTTATACTGCACTTTGATGAAGTTCCAGGGTTCTTGCAATGGCTATGAGTGGCTTGAGTTGAAATGCCTCAAGGGTAAGCTGTATGAGCTCAATGCCTCCATCTGGGAATCTTGCCTTGAGCTTATGGACTGCCTAGTTGAATCTCTGGAATTTAGCACCTGGAAGACTGCTGCTTTCTGATTATCTAACCCCAATTCTAAATTGCTGAACACCCTCAAGCAAGATGCAAAGGTTAATGGGAAGCGCATTTTCTCCTAAGAGACAGTACTCTCAAGTCTGCTCTACATGGGTTGTGTTCCAATGCCTTTCACATCTTGATTTATCCAGGCAAATCATCTGTGCAACATTAGTCCCAAACGGACTATTCTTTACTAGAAGTCTACCTGCACCATGTGGAACATCTACAAGAACACACCAATAAAAGGTTGTGAGTGCACACTCACACACTTCTGAGGTTGAACCCAGAGCCTTGCTTGCACATGATAGGCAAGTGCTCTACCACTGAGCTGCATCCCTTGCCTTTGTGAGGTGGTGGTGGTGGTGCTGGGGACTGAACCCAGGGCTTTTGTGCATGCACAGCAAGCACTCTTATCAACTTAGCTATGTCGGGGCTGGGGATGTGGCTCAAGCGGTAGCGCGCTCGCCTGCCATGCGTGTGGCCCGGGTTCGATCCTCAGCACCACATACCAACAAAGATGTTGTGTCCGCGGAGAACTAAAAAATAAAGATTAAAAATTCAAAAAAAAAAAAAAAAAACAACTTAGCTATGTCCCCAGCACCCCTTGCCTTTTTGAAATAGTCTAGCTAAATTGCCCAGGTTGGCCCCAAACTTGTGATTCTCTTGCCTCAATCTCCTGAGCAGTTGGCATGACCATGATGGCATGGTCACCACACCTAGTCCAATAAGAGGTATTGAGTTCTTCTGAAATAATTTCTTCCAGTTTTTCTCTCATGTCCTTTTGATGCAATTATTTCTCAAATGCTGGGTGACTTTGTATGCTTAAAGACCAAGCACCTTAAAAAAGCAGTAGTCTTGGGCTGGGGTTTGGCTCAGCGGTAGATTGCTCGCCTAGCAAGTTCGAGGCCCTGGGTTCAATCCTCAGCACCACATAAAAATAAAGATACTGTGTCCATCTACAACTAAAAAATTAAATATTAAAAAAAAAAGCAGTAGTATTATGTGTAAGAAGCTGATGTGCTATACACAGACTGTGCCTCCACTCTTACCCTTGTTCTCCCGGAATTGCAGCCTTCGACTTGTCTGGGATTCTGCAAGGCCATGAAGTCTTCTCAGCACTCTCAATTTCATCCAGAAATTTTTGCAGAAAATCTCAATTGCTGATGAAATGTCTTGTTTTTACTTGGCATTCCTCATTACTATGAAGTACAAATGCTCATCTTGAACTCTACCTTCTCCACTCTGGCTCTGGCCCAGTCTTTCTGCTCTCCCATGTCTTATCCACTTTCCTTGCAGTCATTTTCCATTTCTTTGTCCCCTTTCCTTTTCTCAGATCCAGACAACTTACCTTCCAGCTTCAGTGGGACAAGGTACACACCTATAATCCCAGCTACTTGAGAGGGTTAGGCAGGAGGATCACAAGTACAAGGCCGCCTTGACAGCTTAGTGAGACCATGTCTTAAATTTTTAAGAAGTTTAAAAGGCTGGGGATGTACCTCAGTGGTGGGGCAACTCTGGGTTTAACATCCAGGACATGGGGTGGTAGGGTGGTGGACTGCAGCTCCTTCTGAATAACCTAGTCTCCTCCTATAACTCACCCAAAACAGAGATAGAACCACTCCAGAGGAACATATGTGCTTAGAATTGGTGGAGTGGGGGAACCTGGTGTCCTGGGGATAGTCTCAGCTTCAGGTCACAAAGCCCTGGAAACCAGAACCAAAGTGTAGCCACCAAGAGCCAGCTGACAACCTTCCAGGAAGACATTAAGGTCAGTTAGGAAGAAACCAAGGTGCCCACCATCAACAGGAAATTAATTTTATTTTTAAACCCAAGGGGCCAGAACAAATAAAGAAATTCCTACCCCTGGAGGACAAAGAGGTGACCAAGATTAAGGGAGAGAATGACAGTAGGGGCCAGGTAGGAACATGTCCAAACTTCACTCAGGTGCTGCTTCCATCAAATACCCGTTCTCTGGAGCAAGGTACCCGTCACCACCCTCAGACTCCATGTACATGTCTCGACTGTCATTGCCCAGACCCTCCAGCCCGTTGTCCTGGCCGCCACCCCCTCCTCCTC